AGTTTAATTAATAATCCTAAAAGGATTAGCTCAGTGTTATCCTCAAGTAATTAACTCACACCTTTAAAGGTCATATCATTTTTTCCCTAACTCGAAATTGTAATTATAAGATATATATTTGAAATTCCTCTGGCTTGTTGAAATAACGAATTGATATCGCTTTGGTAGATAAATTTCACCTAAGAGGTTTGCAATATGGACAGAGAACTGGAAAAATGTGCATGTGTTTCTCAAATCCTTTATGTTCATTATAAAATAACCACTTTGAATTTGAATTTATCTTGCAATATAATTTCTTAATTCAAATACATAAAATTAATATATCTTTATACCTCGTGATTCCAGTATATGCATGTCATTTCTTGGCAATGTAGTTTATTTCCATCTCATTATCAACTTCAGGGACATCCTCTCCTTTTTTACACTCCATGTGTAAGTAATAACACTTACTTACACATAGAGGCTTTTAAGACATTTTTTACATGACTGGTCATAATATTACTCGCTACCGTTCATGATGGTGTTGCTCTCCATGTTATCTTTCCTTTTTTCTTTCACAAACACGACTTCAATTGATAATTTTATCATTAATTAAACTAATTTTATGTTATAAATTTAGTTAATAGACTACATTATCATTTATCTTTAGTATAAATATGCAGTATCTTACTTTGTCATAATCAACTTTTTTATATTAATATTTAGTTATTAAAACTAATTAAAAATTAATTAGGATAAAAACATGCATTAAAATTTGTGTTTTAAAATTTTTAATTATTCTTTTAAGTTTTTTGAAATAAATGTTTTAAATCATTTAAAAGAAGAAAAAAATTAGTATGACTGAATGTTTCTTATATAAATTAAACATCCTAAAATAAGGATTTTTTTTAATAGGATAAACTTAAACTTGCCACTTTCATCAATGCATAATAAACATACGTAATATTTAATACAAGATAATAAATTTATGATATCTTTTTAAATACATAATTTTCTTAACAAGGTATTCATCCTTTTTTATTATTATTTTTACAATCTATTCGTCATTGTTGTCCTAATATACATCCAATAATTTATTATAAAATATTAGCTATTTTTATAGTTTTTTTCTCAAAATAAAATAATCTTTGAAGATTTGAACATATTCTCTTGAATGGATAGAAAAACACCAATATAACACATAGAAACATAAAGTAAATTTTTTTGGTATACAAATATTTATTTCAATTGATCACTTTATCAAATCTAGGAATAATAAAACACAAGTATTTTTTCATCAAATTTCTTGTTGATACCATCATTTCCATTACAATCATCATTTTCATTTCAATTTAACCACTTCCATAAAATCATCACAAATACATTCACTTCATAGTCCAAAATAATTTAAAATCTCATTTTCCCATTAATTACTTGTAATCACATTTTAGCTTAATCATTAATTTCATCAATCTATCGTATAACCCTTAACATTAAAAGTCATCACCTCGATTCATCATCTACTTCATATATTTTCATATATAAATCTCCTTTTAAGCAATTGATTTTATATGTTCATTTAACATTAATAGTGTTTTTTTCTAACTGATTTACTTCTATTTGTTTATTTTAACATTTCTTATTGACACGACTAAAAGATTGATGTCTTTTTTCAAATGCAGAAGTGTCGAAGTAATAAATAACCTAACAAGACTAGGATCGAACCAAAGGGCCAAGCATTTATTATACCAAGTGTTATACAACATAAATCTAGATTAGTCATTTAACAAGCAAAGTATTAAAGAGTGAACGAGATAACAAATACAAAATATGTTAGTATCAAACATTAAAGTTCATATTAAGTTTAGGGTATTAGAAGTTAAAACATCCCTTCGGCCTTAATTGCTTAGGTTAGGGAGGTTGCGAAACCAAACTTATCTATATTTTTATTATCACTAACTTTTTTTTGCTCTTTTTTTTTTCAAATTATATACTATCCCTTTCTCTTAGTTGTTACCTTTAACAAACGAACATAAATAATGTAATAATCTAATGTGCAACCCATAAGCATATGTTAAAGTGTGTATGTGAAAATTAAGATTTAAGAATACATGTTAAATGAGTGTATGAGCAGAATTAAATAATAATAATGCGAGAGTTTGTAAACCTGAATATTTCAAAAGGTATTATAACAAACCTTGTTAAAAATTGTTACTAAGATATGTCTTAAGATTCACTTTAACAAAAGAGCTCTTTTACTCTGTCATCCTAGTAACAACAATTTTGCATATGCTTTATGAAATGGAAAATATAGTTAGTTATTTTTGTTTTTTTTATCAACTACTACTCTCTCCCCCCAACCAAAACGAGACATTGTCCTCAATGTTCTAAGGTAGAAAGATAGAGTATAGAAGATATCACCTGAAATAACAAACACT